ATATAAAAAAAATTACAATTATAAAAATAAAATTAAAATTAAAATTAAATAAATAATAAAATTATCCATATATACGTCAAGTCAGCACTATGCGACTTTTAATAATTTATATATTAGTATATTTTTTAATTATATTTTTTATTTTTTATTTTTATTTTTAATATAAAAAATATAAATTATCCTCCACTAGCAATCACGTGGCGTTGATTTGACGAACATGTGGATAATTTTTATTTTTATATTTTATTTTCTTATATTTTTAAATTTTAATTTTTATATATTTTATATATTTAATTTAATTTTTATTAAAAAAAATGTTAAAAAAAAAACAACAACAACAACAACGTGGTAGACACGTGTCGCTGATCTGGCCGACACGTGTCCGCCAGTCGGCCACGCAGATGCCACATAGGTATTGAGGACTAAATTGAGAAAATTTTCCACTTACGGGCCTAGTTTAAGACAACCTCCAGTTACAAGACTAAAATGATAAATGAGTCCAGTTACGGGACTAAAAAAACACGGTTTATCCTAAAATATATTGAATAACCGTTATCTATTAAAAAATTAACCTCCAAATTTATTTCTGTTCATATCTTAAAATTTGTAAAATTGTCTGAACCTCCAAAAATGCAAGAAACAAACATGCAAATCCTATATTTGTTTAGGTAAAAATATCGATATTGGTCATATTATAATCACAATTACTTCACTTTAGTTTATTCTAAAATTCTTAAATCTATATAATTTGAGTCATTTAGCGAATACATATGATTACAAAAAATACCATCGTTGAGTTTTCATCAAGACACCTGAGATAAAAACCATGTTACCAACTTAAAAGAAATAAGGATAGTTTCTTAATACAGCCATATTGTTAGTGAAAACAGCAAGTTTATTTAAATTTGATAAATTTTTATCTACATGATGAAAGTATATTTTGTGTTTGAACTCAGCACAATGTATTTCGTCTCTGTTATAAGATGGCACGCCATTAAAATATATTGGGCATTTAACGAAAGAATAAATTTTAAAAATTTTTTATTGAAAATAGGACTGTATTATTCTAAGCCCTACTAAAAAATTATAATGAAACTAAAACTAATTAATTATGTTATAACAAAACCAATGTTGCTTTATTCCCTTCTTAAACTTAAGGTTTTTCTTTTTTCTTTTTTTTTTTTCTAAGTACACTTATTCAATCAATTATTACTTATGATTAATTTAAAATTTATATATATATATATATATATGTACTTGGAAAAGTTATACCACTAAATTGTCTTTGAATTTAACGTGGGTCATATTCTGGGTCATTTGATTCTCCTTCTGGGTCAATTTGTTTTTCAATTAGATTTTCGATGGCTTCTTTGATCCGAAAGGATTTGGTTTTCGGTTTGACTTTGCCAGACTTTGGAGGGCTTTGGTCTTCGTGCAGGCAATTTTATCATCGGCTTTGGATTTGATGTCCTCTTTGGATGATCCGAGGCTTTGATCTTTGATTTGGCTTTGCCGCCTTTTGGAGAGTTTTGGTCTCCGTATGGGCGATTTGATCATCGATTTTGGATTTAATGCCTTCTCTAGACGATCCACAGCTTTGATCTTTGATTTGGCTTTGTCGCCTTTTTGAGGATTTTAGTCTCCGTGTGGGCGATTGATCCTCGGTTTTGGATTTGATGTCTTTTTTAGACGATCGACGACTTTGATCATTGGTTTGACTTTGAAGCCTTTTGGAGAGCTTTGGTCTCCGTGCGAGCGATTTGATCCTCCGCTTTGGATTTGATGTCTTCTTTGGACGATCCGCGGCTTTGATCTTTGCTTTGTCTTTGTCGCTTTTAGAGGGTTTTGCTCTCTGTGCGGACGATTTGATCCTCAGCTTTGGATTTGATATCTTCTTTGAACGATCCGCGGCTTTAGTCTTTGGTTTGTTTTTTCCGCCTTTTAGAGAGGTTCGGTCTCTGTGCGGGCGATTTGAGCTTTGGATTTAATATCTTCTTTGGACGATCCGCGGCTTTGATCTTTGGTTTGCCTTTTCCGCCTTTTGAAGAGCTTCGAACTCCGTGTGGGCGATTCGATAGTCAGTTTTGGATTTGATGTCTTCTTTGGACGATCCGCGGCTTTGATCGAAGAACGCAATGAACATCTTGAAGCTTTGGGAAGAACTTTGGAGACTTTCCCTTGGCTTTGATGAATTCCTCAACGGCTTTGGAAGCTTTGATCCTTCCTTCGGCTCGGACATACGACGAAGAACATTAACTTCATCGATTCGTCAACCAATATTGGATCATTTATCCAAATCAGTGACTTTTGACGAAGAACGCTTCGAATGACACGAAGAACATGAAGAACAATACAGAGAGAATCTAGAGACTTACCCATTTGCTTGAATCTTCAATGTAACTTCGGTGTCTCAAATGAAATGGCCATGGCTCCTATTTATAGGGGAGGAGTGGCCTCGACTTCCTTTTTGAATGGTGCCACGTGGCACGTCCTGATTGGCCAATACGAAGATTATATAATCTTTTATTTTTTGTCCGATGCCGTTTTTCATTCTTGACGGATTTGATTGTGGACCTTCATTTCTCGCCAAGATCTTTATATCATTGCCTCTTTCGGAAGATATTAATCTATATACTTCATTTATTGACAAGATTAATTTATTTTGCTGCCAAAATTATTATGGCTCTGTATTTATGCACGTAATATTTGTACGATACCTTACATTTTAAGCAGATTTTTGCATTAATGGTTTATATTTATTGTACAAAAATTAACATATATGCATAATTAAATATCAAATATTTAATTGAATTTAGATATATTTTTAGTGTCTATATATATACACAATATGAATAATGAACAATAAAATATTAGATAGTTTCTAATTAATATTAGTCTAAAATCTTTAATAATATATTGAAAAATATATTATTAAAGATAATTACAGTACAATACCCGGTAGTAATTATAAATTAAAATTAAAATAACTAATTAGTCTAATTAAGATTTAAAAAAATTATATATTAAAAAATTTAAAATATAATTAAAGTAGTTAATTATTTTCTAAAAAAGCAATAAGTCAGAATATGTGAGACAAAACGACAATATTGACATAAGATAAATGTAGGGTTTAGGGAGTATAATACAATATATTTCTTCTTAAATGTTGTGATGTTGACCAATCAACAACAAAATAGGTTTTAAGTAATAATGGAGCAGATTTTTTGTAAAAATATATATATTGTTGATACTGGATATGAGAAACAGATTCTTAAAAATGGTCGGATAAATCTTTATACCGTATAAATTTACTTTTCGAATACAATATTTCAATCATTACTTGCTTCATATTACATGAAATGTATATTAATATAATACACAGGTAATAAAATAAAAAATAAAAAATAGATGAACAGGAAAAATAAAGTAAAAAAACTGTAAATTTGCATAGATGAGCTTTGATGTGTTGTGTAGGAGAATTATGGAAAGAGTATATTCTCTTATATTATCTTGTCTTCTTTCAATCTCAAATTTCAAAATTATTTCTTTTTCCAATTTGAATTTAAATTTTAAAACTCTATTAAACTGTAATTCCAAATACTCAAATTGTTCTATTGGCAACGAAACACTTAAGTCCTCCCCCATATACATCATGTCTCATTACCATTTCATATTAGACTTATACAATAAATTATATTTAAAAACACACAAAACACATCATAAGTCATACAAAAAATACGTTTAATTCCAACATATGTTCTCACGAATCCTACTGTACTATATGTTGTTTCATTAATCTTGAAATGTTGAAAGAAAAGTAATAAAATGTTGAACAATCATTTGTAATTTCTCTCTATAATTAGTGGAGAAAGTAGAGAAAAACAAAGGCGAAAGAAGTTGTAAAGATAGTAAAAAAAGAGATGATTTTGCGGTCACAACATTAATGAAGATACTAGAGAAATAGGTGAATTTAAGATATGGATCGAACACATGGACAAAACCAAATTTTTATTATTTTTTAGTGTAATATTATTAAATTTTTTTAATTATTTATATATAATTATTCACCAAAATTATCTAAATTCATATATGACCCTACTATTATTTTATAATTTTTATTTATAAATTATTAATTAACTATTAAAATATAGATTTTCTCCCGAAATTTAGACGTTAGTTTCGCCACTGGTTGCATGAGATAATTTTTTTGTTCTTGTTTCCATATTCACCATTTGATCAAAATTGCATCCGATGGCTAGCCGGCTAAGCATAGAATTTTCAGTACAGAATCTTGTCCATTTTTTTCCCCTAAAATAAGGATATAAACTAATTGACAACTCAGAAAAGCCACAATCTCAGGCTAATAATAGAAGGGAACTAATTAGGTAGTGCACACAGCAGTAGTATTAAATAAGAGAATTTAAGTACCTTTAATTTCTTCACAATACATGGCTCGGTTTAGACAAAACTTTTTAAAATTTTAGAATTAATAAAAAATCGAGTGTTTACATTAACTATGAAAGAAAATGAATATTTGATATAATATTTTTATAAAAAAAATTATTGTTGGCGAAATTTTTTTAAAATAAAGTAAATTATATAACACTCTCTTTTGTTTCAGTAAAAATGCACAAAACACCTTATATTTTATTTTATTGCATGAAATCAAATTATTTAAGATATTTTACTTTTTTTATTCGTATTAAACTTGCGTAATTTTAAATTTTATTTAGAATAAACATAAGCTTTGCACAAAGAGGGTGTTTTGTGCAAAATTTAAATTAACACAAGGGATTTCACATAATAAATAAAACACAATATGTATTATACATTTTTACTAAAATACTAGGAGGTGTTATATAATTTACCCAAAAAAATATATATATTTTTGTAAACGGAGCGTATATGTAGAAGGGAATTATTAGGAACATGTATATATATATATATATATATAAGAAGCATGAGATGCCTTTGAGGAATATTTATCTTCAATACACACATCAAGAGAGAGAGAGAGAGAGAGAAAGAGGGTTTATTATCTTGAGGTGAGGTGAGGTGAAGTGATTTAGTTTATTAATTAGTGTTATTAGTATGGTTAAAAGGCTATTTGGATCTTTTGTATCAGCGATTGCTTATTGTTTCCAAGACCCTAAATACACTACTCATCATCACAACCACCAGTACCACCACCACCACCACCCCCACCACCACCGCCGCCACACCATCTCCAAGAAGTCGCGTCGACCACTTTCTTTGCAGGTTAAATTTCTATATATATATATATATATATATATATATAGCCTCCATCATAATATATAATAATTATTCTAAATATATTATAGTTTCCGCTTGAGAAATTCTCATCTGGAAAAGTTTACTGTTGTCTTCTTCCTCGTATAATTAGTTTAATTTTATTGGCTGACTTGATCATCTTCTTCACATGTGCTATTTAAGTTTTACCTTAACTCATTCGTATATGTGTTTATATATATATATATATATATATGCATGTATATATCATATGTGTGTGTAGTGGATTTCTTGGAGGTTCTCAAAGATATCAATTAGTTAAAACCACAAACACTAATACTAATGGAATATAGTGTTTGGTTCTAATTTTATTACTTTTTATTATTTTTTTCCTTATTTTATAAGCAAAATAGTATTTAGATATAATATTTTATATTAAATATTTTTTTTTATTGAAAATACTGTACTTAAAAATAAATAAATAAGCCTTAGTTTAGGGTTAGACTGGATGGATTTTATTTATTTCATGTTTGAATTTATTGGATTTTCAGCTAGTTTAGTAAGAAATAATGATAAGAGTATATCATAAAATATCAAGAATTTTCAATTATTTTGAAAATAAAAAATTTATGTTATAAATAAGTGTGTATTTTGAATAAAGTATAAATTTTTATGTAATATTTTAAATATAAAATAAATTTTGGATATGATATCTTTTAAAAAATAATAAATAGTACAAAAACAAAATTGAAAACCCGAGAAAAGAGAATCGATCTAATTTGTCATGCCATTCTTTTGATAGTAAAACAAAATCCTCTACTCTGTGTTCCAACTTCATGGGACAAAAAAAAAAAATAAAGATTCTATAATTAGAGGATGAACCACAAACCAGTCTTGTTATATTTGAATTTAAAAATAGTATTATAATATAAAAGGTGTTTAATATAATATTTTAAATAAAGAGTAAATTAATTAAAAAATATATATATTTTTTTAATTCGATAATTTTATAAAATATATAATACTATAATAAATGATACAAAATCATATCCAAACCTTTAAATAAACCTAATAGGGCCGTCACATTAAAAATAAATCTACATCACATATGTATAAAATAGAATTCATAATACATACTAATATTTTATATATCATCATGTTATATATTATGTATTTCTATATGTTATTTTTATACGTTGATTTGAACAATTAGTAGATTTTCGAGTGTTGTGCAGATCAAAAGTATGGTTCGTATATCCCACAGAACATTTGTTGCTTAATTGCTAATTAATCATCAAATTATATATTGTCTTTTCCCTAATTTGAGATTAATTATAACCAAAACGATCGATAGTGGTTTATTATTATATATACCCACATAAGCATCTAAATCTTGAGGGACAAAATGTTATAATTTATTTAATATTTAGCTAATAAATTTAAATAAATAATAATGACAGAATTATACATGAATTTAGAAAATTTAGGAGAGAGGCAAATTGTATATAAATATATAAAAATTAATATTTTGAATTAGGGGGCCAATTGACCCCAAGCCTTAGTGTAGTTCCGTCCCTGCACATATATATATATATATATGTGTGTGTTTTTCTGCGAAACAGCATCTTTGTATATGCCTGAAAACATGGGCATGAATTTATTATCTTGTAGAGTTGTAGTCCCTACCTATAGATACAGATATCACAGATATATATATATATAGGTTAATTAAGTGAGAGGGGAGCAGGGTAGTGTAATGATAAAAAGGCAGTTCAAAATCCATTATAAGTACTCATCACAGAATTATTAAACACATAAAGATTAAAGACAAAAGGAACAAATGCGAATGGAATAATAAGAAAGTCATTTTTTTATACACCCACACATTTATAAATATATATATATATATATATATATTTGCCTTAGTGGAAAGCATCAGCATCTTTGAAATTAAACGCCTTGAATTGTATTTATAGTTAATTATTGTTATTTGTTTCGGATATTTCTTCAGTTGTCTTTTAATTGATTTTTTTTAGAAAACAATAATATATATGTATATATATATATATATATATTGTTCCAGCGGACAAGAAAATTTATTATTTTTTTTTTAAGAAAAAAAAGTCTCATTTGAACGACCAAAAAAAGATAGAGCTATACATGTTTGTTTAGGTAAAGTAGAAACAATAATATTTCCCTGTCTGCCTCAACAAGTATATGTAACTTTTATGAGAAAATTTGATAAAGCATGTATATTAATGATAGTTGGCACAAATTTGTAGGTATAAAATATTTTCTCCTATATTTTTTTGATGTAATAGTGTTTACATAAATAAATATACGTTTAAGGTTAGAAATTTACAATGGATTTTTTATGTGTACCATATAAAATACCAAAATAGATACATTTTGGGTAGACATAATAAGTAAATATATATATATATATATAAATAAAAGAGGGTCCTTATTTTCACTTAGCTCAAGGTCAATCGAAAATTAAGAACCCACATGTACAAGATCAAAACAAAGTCCATAAAATATCGAGAAAAATAGTGATACATTAGTAGATGACTAAACATTCGATTTTTACTTTCGTTTTAACTTCAGACTGTGGAGCTCAAAGTACGGATGTGCTGCACCGGCTGTGAGCGCGTAGTCAGAGATGCGATTCACAAACTCAAGGGTTAGTTAAAATATTTTTCAATTATTCACCCTTGGTAACATTTTTCATAAGTTTTTTTTTTTTTTTAACATGGGAATCTCCGGTTACTATTCTTTGAGTACATTTTGGGTAAATCCATGATCATGATTTGATAGATGGACGGTGGTGATTTCAGGGATCGACTCAATCGCCGTGGAGTTGGAGATGGAGAAGGTGACGGTGATAGGATACGTGGAGCGAAGCAAGGTGCTGAAAGCTGTGAGGCGGGCTGGGAAGAGGGCGGAATTTTGGCCATACCCAAACCCACCTCTCTACTTCACATCATCGGGACATTACTTCAAGGACACGACGAGCGAATACAAGAAGAGCTACAACTACTGGCGCCACGGCTACAACGAGGCTGACCGGCACGGCGCCCTCCACGTCACACAACGGGGGGATGACAGGATCAGCAACTTTTTCAATGATGATAATGTCAATGCTTGTCGTCTCATGTGATGATGATCCCTCGTACTTAATTAATTATTGCCTAAGGTATTTTGTTTGTAAGTAAGTTAATTATGAGTTTGTGTTCATGCTTTGTATGTAAATCCATACATATATATATATATATATATTAACACCAGGAGAGTGGCAATCAGCATTGTGTTGATTCATCGTTTACTATTTGATCATTAAAAAAAAAAAAAAAATGTCAAATTAATAACTTACCTTATCCGATACTATAATAGGACAACCTAGACATCTTGAAGAAACATAATCTTAAACTTATCACCTTCTTGCAACCTTCTTCAAGCTTGTAAACAGACAAGTGGGGTTGAGTTTACAAGTTTGATTTTTCAAAAAATTCTCAATAAACTTAGAATTAGCCATCAAAATTCTTACTCTTACGCTACTCAACAAAATGGGAGACTAAAAAGAAAACACAAACACTTGCTTCAACTTTCAAAAACCCGTCTCATCCAAGCTAACCTACCAATTAATTCTTTTGGGGAGAAGCTAGATACACAAACACACACCTAATAATTATTCTCCGAACACCTATCCTAGGTTGGAAAAACTAGACACTAAACTCTATAAATGTTTCTTTTCCAGATACCTATTTTGAACTAAAGGTTATAACTTATGAACTTTTGCAATAAGACTCATTTTATCTCAAGAGATTGATCTTGTATAAAAATATATTTTCATATCAATCCAAAAAAATCACTTTTTTTCCTCATATCTATCTTTGCCACTACTCTCTTTAGATGATACTAATGATAAAAGTGTCTTGATTGTTCTTCTTTTCCAATATATATATATATATATATATCACTTTCACTTGGCAACTTTTTTTTTTTTTTTTAGGCAGGTCACTTAGTTTCTCAAAACTCTTTTAAATAGATTTTCAAAGGGAAGGATGTTTGGATTTGTTAGAAACAATTATAATGAACAGCAACAATCAAACACAGCGAACGTCTGCCAAGCCACCATGCTCATAATTAACTCAATGATGTGATGAAAAAAATAACCCTAATCCTAACAATATAAATGCTAGACTAACTATCAAAAATAGAAATTAACTAAATACTATAGCCCACTTAATTAAACATAACAATTAAATCAACCGGCCCACGAAGGTGGATTCAATCCCGACTCCGCCGACGATAGACCAACAGGGGTCGTGGCTCAGTAGCAGCCTTGACAACGGGCTGGTCCCCCTCATCCTGTTCGCTATCAACTCCATCCCTCTTCAAAAAAACCTTGTTCCCAAGGTTGAAATCTGGAAACTGACGCCGAAACTCGCTCAAATCAACCCATGTCGCATCATCCTCTGTCTGACCAACCCATCTCACCAACACTTGATCCTCCTCACTCCCATCCTCTGCCACATTACGTGCTGCCAACACCTCCTCAGGCTCAAAGAACGGCCCTACCGGAATCTCCAAGGTAACCGGCAATTCCTGCTCCACCGGATGGTCCCCCACCACACGTTGCAGTTGCGACACATGAAAGACTAGATATATGCGGCTGCCAATGGGAAGCACAAGGTGATAAGCAGTAGGACCAACTCAACTCTCCATAAAAAACGGCTCATAAAACTTTGCAGCGAGCTTATGATGCGGTTGTTTCTGCAAAGTAGACTATCGAAACAGACGCACCTTCAAGAACACTTTATCCCCCACCTGAAATTCCAACTCCCACTGATGTTTATTCGCCTGCGTCACCATTTTCTGCTGAGCTACTCCAGATTTTGGCGCAGGCGCCGTAACAAATTATCCCGGCTTCCCAACAATTCACCTACTGCCGCTACTTTACACTCTCCCGGCAAGAACCTTTTGATTGAAGACGGCTCTCTCCTATAAACCACTTCAAAGGGTGTCATCTTGGCGGCGGTCTGGAAGGATGTATTATACCAATACTCCGCCAAAGCTAACCACCGCATCCACTTTTTAGGTTGTTCACAAGGAAAACAGCGCAGATAGGTCTCCACCGCCCTATTTAGCACCTCCGTTTGGCCATCGGTCTCTGCGTGATAAGCCGAACTGAACTTCAGAGATGTTCCCGATCTGGAAACAACTCCCTCCAAAATGAGCTCATAAAAATGGAGTCTCGATCACTCACAATCGACCGAGGTATCCTGTGCAATCGAACTATCTCTCATAAACGCCTCCGCCATCGAACGAGCTGTATTAGGCGGCTTCAGGGCAATGAAATGCCCATACTTCGAGAGCCGATCCACCACCACCAGAATATTAGAATATCCCCTCGACTTTGGCAGGCAAGTAATGAAATCCATAGATATATCCTCCCAAACAAACATAGGAATCGGCAGGGGGTGCAACCATCTTGCTGGCGTGAGTGTCTGATAGTTAGCTTTTTGGCAAACCAAGCATTAAGCAACATAACTCTGCACTTCTCGAAACATCCCCATTCAATAAACATTTTCCGCCAAATGCCGGTAAGTGCGAAAAGCACCTGCATGGCCGCCCACTGGAGTATCATGAAACTCCCTCAGCAGTTGTGGAATCCATCTCGACCGCACCGACAACGCCAACCATCCTTTGTAATATAAACACCCTCCGATGACCTCATAACCTCGACTACTGTCCGGACCTGCTTCAATCGCGGTGATGATGCGGCGAAGAGAGGCATCCTGCCACTGCTCGGACCGCACCTCGTCCAACCCCAACCATCCCGGTACACTCACCGCTGCCAACTCTAGCTCCTCCCCCCTGCGAGACAAAGCATCTGCAGCTGCATTTGAAGCTCCCGTCTTATATTCTATAGTAAAGTCATACCCGAGAAGCTTTGCCACCCACAACTGCTGTGAAGGTGTGACAATATTTTGAGTCAGTAGGTGTTTCAGGCTCCGATGGTCCGTCCTCACCACGAATTTCCGGTCAATTAAATATGGTCTCCAATGCTGGACTGCGATGGCCAATCCCATCATCTCTCGCTCATAGGCAAACTTAGTGAGAGTCTGATCAGCCATGGTCTTGCTGAAATATGCCACGGGACAACGCTCCTGCATCAGAACAGCTCCCACACCCGTCCCGGACACGTCGCATTCCACCACGAAGGGTTGGTCAAATCGAGGCATGGCAAGAACTGGAGCCTCGGTCAATGCCTTTTTTAGGCGAACAAAAGCAGCTTCGGCTTCCGGGGGCCATTCAAACACTACGGGGGCTGCCTTCTTCAGTAGTGCCGCCAACGGTATCACTATCAATCCATACCCCCGCACAAACCTCCGGTAATACCCCGTGAGACCCAAAAAACCCCTGATGTCCCGGACCGATTTGGATCGCAGCCATTCAACTACTGAACTCACCTTGCTATGATCCATTACTATCCCTGCTGCCGAGATAATGTGTCCCAAATATTCCACTTTCAGACACCCAAAGCTACACTTCTTGAAATTGGCCTTGAACTGGTGACTTTACAGTAACTGCAAGGTTTGTGATAAATGTGTCCGACGATCCTCCCAAGTTCTGTTGTACACCAGGATGTCATCAAAGAAAACCAAGATAAACCGGCGCAGGAATGGGGGAAATAACTCATTCATCGCGGACTGAAAGGTAGCTGGGGCGTTGGTGAGGCCGAACGGCATCACCAAGAACTCGTAATGACAACTATGGGTCCGGAAGGCAGTTTTGTGAATATCCAGTCCTGCCACCAAACTTTGAGAAGACTACTACACCGGACAACTCATCTAGGAATTCCTCAATCACAGGGATCGAGTACTTATCGGGTACCGTCACTTTGTTCAACTCCCGATAATCAACGCAAAATCGCCAACTGCCGTCCTTCTTTTTCACCAACAGTACCGGGCTAGATAAGAGACTGGAACTCGATCGAATGACCCCAGCTGTAAGCATATCGTTGACCAGTTTCTCTATTTCATCTTTCTGGAGATGGCCGTAATGGTACGGCCGCACATATACCGGTTTTGAGCCTGGGATAAACTCAATTCTGTGGTCAGTGGAGCGCTGTGGCGGTAAACCGGATGGTTCCACAAAAGCCTCGGAAATAATCTTCTAACACCTCTTTCACTTGCCCCTGCTCCGCCTCCGAAAACCTCACCGCGTGGACATCAACTACTACTGCCCAAAGCTCCACATTGCTGGTGCGAACCAAAGTGCGCAGCCCAACTGAACAACGACTAAGGGTGGGGTCACCCCGTAAAACGACTCATTGATCCCCTTGGAGGAACGACATAGACATTCGTTCTCAATTAACACTCCCATCTCCAGGAGTCCCCAACCACGCCACTCCCAGTATAACATCGACACCACCCAATGTGAACACAAAGTAATCCGTAGTTAGCTCGCACCCTGCCAAAGTCATCGACACCCCATGACATAAACCTGCCGACTTTTTCCGGTGTCCGTCACCCAACTGCACCACAAATTTGACTGATTCATCCGGCTTAAGCTACAATAATAGAACCAGCAACGAAAATATGAAATTATGACTAGCACCACTATCAATTAACACTGTTACCGTACATCCGTGGAGTATCCTGTGCATGCGCATAGTGCCTGGACTAAAAAATCCAGCCATGGAAAAGATAGGTAAGGCACTCTCCTCCTCCGCGCCTTATCCTATCTTCTCCGCGAGCTCCTCTTGACCGGTAGGTTCATAATATTCATGATTCTGCAAATCCACTTCCTCATCCGGCTCCACAAATAAAACCCCCAACTCCCTGAGTGGACAAACTCTCGCATGACCGGCGTGTACGTCTTGCGGCACTTGAAACACAAACCCTTTGCTCTTAAGTCTGCCATCTCGTTTGATGTTACGTGGGTAAATCACGAACGCACAGTCGATCGTTCAGAGGCTGCCGGGGTGGCTGCTACCGATTTTTCCGATGATCGAGACAGACGACTAGCAGAATTACCCCCAAACGGTCCGGGTACTGTGCTGGTCTATCCGGCGCTGAGCAGATGCGAGGAATTAAAGGGTTGCTGCCCGGAATTATTCGAACCTCTGAATTTCCTATCACCCCCTGGCCAATTCAGATTTTCCTCAATATCTCGTGACAATTCCATCGCGGTCTCCAAGTCTGCTGGTCGGAGCAGACGTAGAGAGTTGTTGATAGCAGTTTTCAACCCGGACATAAAATAGCCGAGATAATGGGCATCCGACAGCCCTAGAACCTATCCGGTGAGCTGTATGAACACATTCACATAATCTTCAACTGTTCTTGTCTGACGGACTCTCACTAACCTTTCGAACGAGCTTCCCTTGAATCGGGAGTCGAACCTCGCTACTAGGACTTGCGAGAAATCGTTCCAAGTCACGTTGGGCTTCCGGGCGCGCAGCCAGGTGACCCAATGCAGCGCAGCACCATCCATAGCCACCACAGCGGCCGAGACCTTAGACTCCTCAAACGTCCCGTGCAACTCAAACTGCTGATTGGCGCGGGCCAACCAGGCGATCGGGTCCACGCCGTCGAACATGGGTAACTGTACTGTGCAAGGGGAACGTGCGGCACCACAACAGCGGGTAGAGCAGGTTCTGCCCGGGCAGCCGGCAGCTCAGAAAAAGCTGAGGGCGGGGCAGCGTGTGATGCGGACTCCTCCTGCGAGTCAGTGGCCTAATCCAGCGCACCCCCAGGGCCCAAAATTGCGTGGGACAGCGCGACCAGGGTGGTCGACATCCCCTGCAATTTGATGGTATTCTCCACCAACCCTGATGTAAACTCCGACATCTGTTCGTAATTTTCAGTGATCCTGCGCAGCATATTAGCCTGATCAGATTCTAGTTTCTCCAATCTCTCAGCGGCAGAACGAGTAGTCGACATTACGACGGGTCGGGATCCGGCAGGTCGGATCAATTGTTAGAAACAATTATAATGAACAACAACAATCAAACGCAGTGGACGTCTGCCAAGCCACCAGGCTCCTAATTTACTCAATGATGTGATGAAAAAAATAACCCTAATCCTAACAATATAAATGCTAGACTAACTACCAAAAATAGAAATTAACAAAACACTATAGCCCACTTAATTAAACATAACGATTAAATCAACCGGCCCACGAAGGTGGACTCAAGCCCGACTCCGCCGACGACAGACCAACAAGGGTCGTGGCTCAGTAGCAGCCTCGACCACGGGCTGGTCCCCCTCATCCTGTTCGCTATCAGGATCTCTCTTCAGTTTCCTCTCTAGTTTTTTATCATTCCATTGAACATCCATCAGGTAGCATTCAAACTATCTTCCATCTATCCAACACCTATTTTTTCCGTATAAACAATCTTTTTAGAAACACGTATCAATCTACTTGGATACTAGATTAGTATAACACATATTATGACTAACTATGATGATATAATACATGAACCTACTACTTATGTTGAAGCAACTAAGAGAGCATAATAGGGCAAAGCAATGGCTAGGTATTGAAAAGAAATGAAACATAGGAGCTCGCTCATCTACCTGAAAACTATTTATTGTAAAAATGAATATCAAAGGTAAAAAGCAATCGAGATGGTCCTATACATCATTGCAAACCAAGACTAGTGGCTAAAGAATATTGCCAACTCTATTTTGAAATGGAAGGGTGGGCTATAGAGAATTATTTGCTCTTGTTGCTAAAAGTGTTATAGTGCATATTTTCTTTGTCATTTTTCATCAAAAGATTGGTAAATACAACAACTGATGTAAATGTTGCATGCAACACTTTGGGTGTGTTCGGTTGAGAGATTTGGACAAAATCTCACTATTCATCCAAAATTTTCCCCCCAAAAACATCAAATCAAATACCTATTTTTTATTTTTTATATTATACTAAAAATCAATTTTACATTCAAAACATCACATCATCACCTATTTATATCACATCATACAACTATTCAAATTCAAAATTTTTACTATTCAAATCTCAACTCAAAATCCAAACCCCCAAACAAACACACCCTTTATGAAAAATTATATATGGGTATACTTCAAGCACGGACGAACTAAACGTGGGCTTTGGGGCAATTGCCCCTCAACCCAATTTTTCGATTATTTTTAAATATTAAAATATTATATTTTTTTAAAGAGTAAACTGTTTTTTTAGTTCAGAAACTGGACCTTATCATTTTAGTTTCGTAAGTAAAGTCTGTCGCAAATCAGTTCCATAAGTGGATAATTTTTGTTGTTTTAGTCTTCCGGCGCCGGAGACGCCCGCATGGCTCACCGGAAGCCACGTGTCCGCCAGGTGTCCCGCCAGATCAGCGACACCTGGCGGACACGTGGATTTTTATTTTTTTTATTTTTTTTAATCGGATCAAATAAAAAAATTTAAAAAGACAAATAAAATTTAAAATATATTTTTTAGAAAAAATAAATAAATAAAATAAAATTCACGTGTCCGCGTAGCCTCCGGCGAGCCACGCGGGCGTCTCCGCCACCGGAGGACTAAAATAACAAAAAAAAATTCACTTATAAAATTAGTTTATTACAGACTCCACGCTAAAATGATAAATGAGTCAAATTACAGTATTAAAAAAACTTTTTTTTAATTATTTATATATATTTGTCCTCCCAAAATTGTGTGACATGTAATTATTTTATTATTTTTATTTATAAATATTTTGTCCTCCAAAATTTAGATATTAGTTCCGACTTCAAGGCTACAAGACTCCAAATTCTTAATTAGGTGGCTCAAGAAGTCTATGTATTGTTGAACAAGGAGTTTACAGACAAAATTACGGCGTATGAATACACTCAATCAGAGAAAATAATAAATAAATAATAATAATAATAAAAGGTAGGGTAAATCGGCTCCTCACATTCCAACTTACATCACTTTATATTACACCTTTTTTATTTACTATAATTTTTATGGGTTATTATTTGAAATGTGGGCAACAAAGTAAAATTAGGTTGAATATTATTAAATAATGGTTGTTTTTCGCACAAGATGGAAACATTTTTATTTGATTTTGGATTATAAAAATCACATTAGCTATTCAAATTAATTTCTGCATGATTGGTTAGAATTAGAATATATAAGGAGGCCCACTTCGATCAGGTATAGGCAGTCATATTTGGTACAAGGAGGCGGAAGTGTTGTTACGTTCTCTTTTTTTTTTTTCATTATTTTTCGATGTGTATATTAATATTTCAAATTAAAATTAATATTATTTATTAGGTATGATTTTTTATATAAATATATCATTTACTTTTATAAAATGTCAATTAAAATATTATTTAAATACAAATTTTTAAATTAATATTTTATTTCAAATGAGTTTAAAACTATAATTATTGTCTAATTTTCATTATTTTTAATAAAAATATATTTTTTTTTTTCATAAAATATTACTTTAAAATAAATAATCCAATTTGAGTTG